AAACCCTGGAACCCTGAAGCCCTAAACCCTAAAACCCTTAAACCCCTTAAACCTTTAACCCTGGAACCCTTAAACCCTACACTTTAAAAAGAAACAGAGCCCTATCGCCCCTACCTTAGAACACTCGGATCAGGCCCTTAAGCCCTCGGATGCCAGGTACTTGTGGCAGATCCCACGCTGCGCTGCGACCTGAGCTTCCTAGATTTCGGATCCGGCCGGGGGACTTCGGATTGAGACGTCTACGCTAGGGTTTAGGGTCTGAGCTTCCTAGATTTCGGATCCGGCCGGGGGACTTCGGATTGAGACGTCTACGCTAGGGTTTAGGGTTTAGGGTTTAGGGTTTAGGGTTTAGGGTTTAGGGTTAGGGTAGGGTTTAGGAACCTGCCTTTCGTAATCACCCGGCCCCAGGCCTTCTAACTCAGGAAAGCGAAATCCTGCATGCTAAGTTTGAGCAATGAGTGCTGTGAAGCGCGCCAGCCTAAAATCACAAGCACCCAGAGCTCCAAACAGGAAAGCCTCGATCTTCGACATTCTGGCTTCTTGATGGGGGACTTGCCGTTACCATAGTAGAAGCAAGTGCAGGTATACATAAATAGATTATGTCCGTATGCACTTTAAGCGAAGAGAACACGGGTTAAATACATAATTTGAGAGGGAGCGAGAGAGAGCGAGAGAGAGAGAGAGAGTTAGTAAATGTGTTTGCTCAGTGATGTGGGCACTGAGGTCCTGGCGTCGCATTGTCGAGCGTGGAGGGCGCTTTAGAGGACGACAGGCACAGGGCCTGGTAGCTGGGGGGTTTGTTCAGGACTTGGCGCTAGGGCATACGGATTGGGATTTAGGTTTCAGATTTACGGTTTAGAGTCTCTCAAGATTTAGACTCAGAATTGGGGTTTCAATTTGGGCTTGGCGGTTGTGGTTAAGTGACGACTGTCTGTCCAAGTCCCAAATTATGAACCGATTGTTTGTGATGCAGCTCGACTCCGGGATCCGGCTGCCATGTAAATAGGGTTAAGGGTTAACGGTTTTGGGGGACTTTCCTAAACCTTAAACCCTAAAACCCAAAACCCTAAAACCCTAAACCCTAAACTTTGTGCTTCGGGTTTTTCCAGGCCAGGGCGCACCGCGAGGACTGGAGTTCCTTGCAAAAACCACGACTTTCACACCAGGACCACCAGATCAAGGGACCACGAAGCTGCCCTCAAATTCACTGTCTTCCAGGCACTGGCGGAATTAGGAGCGCACACTGCTAGGATTTGAGGCACTTCGCGGCAGTTAGAGGGGCACGTCCCCCAAAAATCGTTCTTTCATGGCCGAGTTGTGTGGCCAGGTGGGGACATCAGGGCACCGGGCCCGAGAGCGGGACTGTGGAAGAGAGCTACCGTAAACCTTCTAAATATAGCAGCCTAAATAATTGCCAAAATTGCTGTTAGGGCTCCTTACAAAAAATAATACTATAAAGGAGCCCAAAACCCTATTCTAAGTATTGAGGGCCCTACATTAAACCCTGCAAACCCTAAACCCTGAGCCGAGGAAGCCTCAGGGTCGACGTAATCCTCTTTCATCTGAGGGGAAGAACCCCGTGGTGTGTGACCAAATTCTTTGGGGAACAAGGGAGGACTCCAAAACACCTTGTGCTGTGCGATACTGACGTTTATGCGTTCTTTTTTGTTGCTCGTGTTCAGCCCTAGTACCCCTCCCTTGTAGTAACCCTTTGGCTAGTGGGGAGCCTTTCAAGCATACCCTAGGGCTTCAGGGTTTAGGGGTTTAGGGATTCATGATTTAGGTTTTGGGGTTATAGGAGTTTCCGCACGCGAGCACTCTCACACGGAGCCACACAGTATCGAAATCGTTTGACAAGATCAACTGGCAGTGTTGCAGCGTCGCGGATAACGAGGAAGTCAAGTCGTCATACTGACTGGGCTCTTGTCAAGCGAGCTTCATTCAGGCTACTATACTCGAATTTTAGTAGTTGCGTATATATATATATATATGTACACACATATACATATACATATACATATACATATATATATATATATATAGTATACACATATAGTAGAAAAAATTGCCGTCTTTTTTCATTGGTAGTATAGGTTAGGTTATTGAGTTCCCCAGCAAGGACGCAACGGATGCCACCCTGCTGGACATGCAAGTTTTGACAGCAGTCAGTTCAAGTGCGGGATCCGGCACTTGCGCATTGCAGATTTTGATGGATGCCGTATGGCATGTTGCTGCAATGCATTTTTTGGAAATCGTCGAGGTCGCAGTGGAGAGTCTTGATGCTATAGTCTCTTTGTGGGCGTGGGTCTACCAATTTGCGTTCCAGGAGCACCTCAAAAGAAGCGATGTATCTCAGTTTACCTCAGTTCAGGTGTAAGACGCAGGTGGCCAGAATGAATCCAATGTACCATAATGTAGCACACGCATAATCAGGCATTTCCCTGATAAGTCATGCTCCCTGACAAGACCCCTTATAGTACCATAGAACCGTTCGGTAACCTTAAAGGGCACCCTTGTAGCACCTGAGAAAGAACCCAGTGTTTTTTGGTCCATGTAGCCGAGCTTCCAATTTTTCAGGCAGCGAGTGTCCATGACGCTGGCAGATGCAAGGTGGGGTTTCGGCTTCAGGGAGTTTAGGGTTCGGCGGCGAGTGGCTGGAGTGGCAAAAACCCTAAACCCTAAACCCTAAACCCTAAACCGAGTTTAGGGTTGAGGGTTGAGGGTCGGGGCTTAGGGTTCCGGAGGCGAGTGGTTGGAGGGGCAAGAGTTGAGAGTTGAGGGTTGAAGGGTTTCCACGGTTCGGAACCCTAAGCCCCAAACCGGTGTGTCTTACGGCTTTGGGCTTTGGCTTTTCAGGGATCAGGCTCGCGACTGGGGCCCGATATTCCACCGACCTGGAACTAAGAACTGTTCTCTTAATCATACTACAATTTCATAGTCTGAGCATGTTTATCTCCTCAGTTGAGGGTTGGCCCCGGAGGTTACAGGGTTTAGCGGAGCTTGGTGGCAGCAGACGATTGGCGACTGAGGCTTCACGGACGCAGGTTTCAGACCTTAAACCCTAAACCCAGAGAGCCCAAGACCCCTTAATTAAGGAATATACCTTAAATCATAGTATTAAGGCCCCTGTGCCCTATAACTTACGGGTATATTCCTTACTTAAGGGGTATTGGGCAGTGATGTGGCGAGTTCTGTCTCTGGTGCGCCGCCCTAAGCCCCAAAGCCGCATGGCCGTGTGGTCTTCGAGATCCTCCTCAGCCTTCAGCTTGTGCCTACAAAAATTACCGATACTATTTCTGGGGGTTCCTTATTCTAACTACTATAGTATACTACACCCCAAAACCCTATTCGAATAATCAAGGCCCCTATATTAGGGCTCAGAAGTTCCCAGCTGTATGCCTAAGCCTTGAAGCCTTGATCGGAGCATCGGGACGATCTCGAAACTAGGTCTTGGGAATAGGGCAGTTTCGGGTAAGCTTGCAGTACTTCTTGAGGACGTCTTGAGGTTGAGAAACACAGAAAGATGAGCAGACTACCTGCATGGCGTGCAGCAGAAGCGCACTTGTCTGTCGTGCGCCAAAGCCTGCTAGCTAACTTTTTGAAGCAATGCAGTTTCATCATTCAAACGGGTTATAGAGACCATTTCTGGATGGCACGGCATTACTGCTTCGGCCTCAAATTCTGATCCCGACCATCGCATCTTTCAACCCTTAAACCCCCTTATCACTGGACCTTCAGACCCGGGTGGTCGGCAGTCTGTTTCTGTTTCGGTCAGATAGGGGCCTGAAGAATTATCTATACTATTTCGGGGGTTCCTTGTTATAACTATAGTATAATGGACCCCAAAAAACCCTAAACCCTAAACCCTAAACCCTAAACCCTAAACCCTATTCTAATTATTCAATCCCCTGATATACCCTGAGCCCTACACTGGGGCCTTGAGTCTTTGTCTTCGGAATGCATCGCGGTTCAAAGTGTGGGTTGTGTTTTTGAGGCTTAGAATTACCGGGTTTGTGTGGGTTGTAGTGACAAGGTTTCGCTTATAATTTAGTTTTACACTGGTTCTGGCTGTCATGCTTGATGTTCAGATGAGTTCAAGGCTAGGAACCTGCGGTTGAGAATCCAGCTGCTTCCGTCCCAGGCGGTGACGCAAGCGCGGAGAAAAACTTGGCCGTTCGAGCTGCTCTGCGAAGCAGGTTCCAGCAGCTGTGTCCGGAACTCACAAGTGGAGGCCGAATCAAAGCTACATTGCTACATCCCAGGCCAACTCGAAGCCTAATTCCCAATCTTAATGTAGGAACCTCAAAAACCCTGGCCCGATCAGGCCAAAATATTAAAGGTCATACAAACAACCCTAAGGAAGACCCAGGGTTTCTTAATCATGTTCCTATAATACCTAGAGACGCATCCCAAGGCTAGCCCTAAACCCTAAACCCTAACTCTAGGGCTCAGGGTTTAGGATACATTGCCTAGGTTCCCCTGCGGTGCACGTTTTTTTGCCCTTTTAATTTTGGGATCTCCTTATGATTCTACAAGAGATGCCCTTAAGCCCTACGTGAACTGTATATAGAAGCCATAACAAGGAACCCTAAAAAGGCAGGT